AAGGGCTTATTATGGCTTTATAAAGGGCTTATTATGGCTTTATAAAGAGGATGTTTGGGTTTATAAACACTTTTTAAAATCTACATACCGGGATCTGTGCCCCCCAGTCTGCTCCAGCTGTGAGCTGCTGTCTTGTTGTAGTACAGGAACCAGCCAGCAGATGGAGCTTTACAGAATACAACTTGTTTTCAACACCACTCAGATGTTAGTCAGTGGCAGGAAGACCTTCAGAATAAAATATAAAAAAAGTTAAAATTTGAAAAAAATACATAAGTAAGATGCTGAGTGTATAATATGTCTAATGATATTTCTGCCAGAATAAACTCCAGGCTGCACTGGAAGAGCTACAGCTAGCAGCATCTTCTTTTTGCTCTTGAAAATAACATTTATGTATGTAACTATTTCTAAAAACAGGATGTAAAGAGCTGTCTACAGCAGGCAAGATATTGTTGATGACTTTTCTACAGAGCCTCACTTAATGGCTGAAATATCCTTTTTAATAACTTGTAATAAAAGACAAATGCTTATGTTCTAGTAAGAGATTTTGGTGCACTTGTGTATCATTTAGGTGGAATTTTTATTTTCTGACGAGAAAAACCAGACCTGTTTTTGTCCCTCCCCTCCAGAGATCTGCGCCGTCTCCAGGATCTCAAAGAAAGAGAATGGTCGGTGCTTCAAGCTGATCCTGAAGGCACTGGGGACCAGTGTGGACCTCATCACGACGGGCGACTTCATGTCCCGCTTCTGCTCCAACCTCGGCTTACCCAAACAGGTGCAAATGGCTGCCACCTTCATCGCAAGGAAGGCTGTGGAGCTGGACCTGGTGCCCGGCAGGAGCCCCATCTCAGTGGCTGCAGCAGCCATCTACATGGCCTCCCAGGCCTCTGCTGAGAAGAAGACCCAGAAAGGTGAGTGACAGCTCAGCTGCACCGTGGACCTTCATCTGTGCTGAACCTAAACAGGTGGACCCTCGCTCTGTAGTGAACCTGATCTGACCCTGATCTGACCCTGATGACCTCAAATCTATCAGATGGACAGAGACTGTTATTTCATTGATCTGAATACAGTTTGAGCCATCTGGTGACTCTCTTTCCTGAATTAATCAAGCAGAAAAGACAATTTTTATAATCATCACTGTTTT